CTCCCCCTTATATGGCAAATATAAACATATATATCACTGCTAAAATGTTTTCTTGATGCACTTCTTAGTGTATTTCCTAAGAAATCATCAGGACTCAAAAACTTATTTCTTATTTTACGATCTTGGGGAAACTGCTTCACTAAATTATAGTGGCATGATTATTTTTTATTTGTTTTACAGTCTACATATGTGAGATCAGCTATGAAAATACCAGTAATGAAAGTAAAATTAAGAGCTTTTTTTTCCTCAACATCTTTGCCCTTTTTTAATCTCTGGTCATTGTATGTGTTGAATTTCATGATAAAGAGGAAGATTGCAATTTTTACTCCTGTTAATAGCACAGAGCCAGAATAGTGAGCTGAAGTGCATTTAATCCTCGGGTGAGCATTTGAAGTACAGGTAAATTTTTCAATCCATATTTAAATGAATGTAGCTACTGTTTCTACAGCTGCAAATACATTTGGTATTGGAAAATGGTATTATCTGTGAAAAATAGTTTTGAAAAATATACTTTCAAACAGTTTATATAAAAGGGAAAATTATAGAGCCATAATGTTAATTTTGCTTTCTTCACTTTTCTGGGTGAACTTCAGGTCACAGTGAAATTAATAATGAAATATATATTTACAATGTTGAGATCAGGATTTCATCCTTAAACCTTCAGTGCTAAACCTAAAACTATATTTTCCATATGATGTTTTATTAGTTCCTAGAAACGGATAATATAATTCTGACATAATTCATAGAGTTCTGACTGGGTTTCTCTTCTAGAAATTTGAAATATTTCCAGGGCTGGTGAATATTCAGTAGAGGAAGATGAGCATGTATGCCACGAAAACATACCTATTTGCAGGTAGATATTGTAAGGGGAAGGTATGGAGGATGTGCACGTGTAGTTAATTGTGTAAGAAACTAATTTCTACTTTAGGCATCAACCCTGGAGACTTTCATTCCATTTCGCAGAAAATTTGAATGACAAGATGAAGCTGAGAAAATGTAGAGCTAAGAATAATTGTTGACTTTGGGGTTTTTTGAGCTATGGGTGGATGAAGTGATAGAGGGGAAGGTGAACTGGCTTAAAGGAAAGCAGAGCAGCCTGGGATGGAAGCAGTTGCCTGGTGGTAATACTGTGCATCAGGCATGAGCCTTTTTTTTTTATTTCCCAAGTTAAATTCTCTCATCCACTGATAGGAGTTGTGCTGAGGCTGTGCCTCCCTTCAGGTCAAGCCTTGCATGGCTCAAAGGTGTGTCATCCTGGGTGGTCTATGGATGAGGCTAAGGTGGGACCCCAGGGGGTGTCTCATCCGGTCATCTTTGGCCACAAGGGTTTGTGGAACCACACTTAGACCTCAAAAGTGGACTGAAGGTTTAAACTGAAGGGAAAAAAAAAACCAGCAGTGAATGTGTTAGAATGCCCTGCAAGAACTCAGCTCATTTTTGGTAAATGCAGTGTCTGAATGATTGTGGGAATCTGAGGACTGGTTAGACCCTATGGAGTTCAGGAAGTGCTTTTGCCAATCTTTCATAGCCAGTTTCTCAGTAGGGTCCATACAAGTGCCTAGAGAGGCAACCTCTGGTTCTGAAGAAAAAAAAAATCTGTACAGAGTTGAAAAGATACTGTTGAGTAACTTAAAATAATGAAGTTCAGGACCATTAAAACTCTGAGCTAATTAAAGCCGTGCTGGCAGGACACAGTCTAATGAATTGGGAACTTTGAACTAATAGATTTCATATGGTGGAAGAGAAGCATTGATTAGTAATAACAACAGTGATGGTAGGATGTAAAAAAAATGCCCTCTCGTGGTAGATCTGAACCAACCTGATGTATTTTTCAGTATCTATAGAAGTGGAGCAGTTGGGTTGGAGTGGTTGTGTGAGTGCTCCATCCCAAATACATTATTCACACTGATCACATTTGCATATGAGTCACATTCAGTTTGAATTTGCCAGACGTCCCTTTATGTTTGTTTAAATAATGAGGTCATTCCATGAGGTGAGCAGAACCTAAAAATATAGAGGGAAGACTGTTTGGAAAAACGAGATTTAAAGTGCCTTGCTTACATATTTTCACATCTCAGGGTATATTATGCAAGCAGGAGCACAGCAATGCTGAGGAACTTTTCAAAAAAACTGTGTCCTTTGCTAACAGTTAGTTAAACAATATATTATATAACAAAGCTTCATTGGACTTGTTTCTATTTCCCAGCCAAGCCAATTTCTCCATTAATGAGAATATTCTCCTTTTGAATACATTCAAATGTACCATTTTCAAAGCCAGCATCATTTTGTTGTTTCTCGTTTTGTGTTATGTGAAGATCCCAAGTCTTTTTGGATTGTTTTGTCATTTACTGTAGCATGGAAGATTTTTAAAAGGTCCTGCTCAAGGCAAAGCTTATTCATAAAGTGAGCAAACAAGGGGGAACTGAATTGTGAAGTTTTATGTTATTGAATTTACATAAACTTTTAACAAGCAATAAATTTTTCTTATGCACAAATGGAGACTACCAACTAACCACTTGAGTTCAACAAAGACTTCCCAAACGAGCACTTGGTTCGTATGAGACTTTTAAAATCTTGCTCAAGCCTGAAGAAATTCTGGTTTGTTCGTACTGCAGCCAATCACTCCACACATGAAAGATTTACATTAGTACTTGGTGAAATAAATTTAATTGTATACAGTTTGAGATTGCTGCCTTGGTAAAGAAAGTTAACAGCAGCAAATCAGAACACACATCTGGTGAGCTGCTTTGATCTCTTTAAAGCAGAATTTGCAAGGAAGGGCTGCAAGAAAATAAAATGGAGCCAAAGCTCTTGGTCTAAGCTCAATGAAGAGTAGAAACTAGAGTAGAAATCTAGGAGTATAGATGATATAATACACAATAAAAGGAAGCCAATGAATTTCAGTTTCTAAGCTCCACCAGCTGATATACCAGAAGCAAGAGAATCTGATGACATAATATGTGTACTGAAAGATGTTTCTCATGTTTAAGACATAACAGATGATATTATGTGAGTTGCACTATGTCTGCCCATTCCCCAAAGAAATACAGATCACAAGCACAAAAACATCTTCCAGCTTCCCCAGGCAAAATGTTCTGTATGTTTTGGACCAGAAAATGGGAAGGAGGCAAGATACATTTCAAATCAGAGGAAATGCACCATCACAACAGTGTGTTTATTTTGTTCATTTGTTCCAGACTGTCCATTCTAGATACAGCTTTTTTAGAGGTCAATTTGCTGTTTCTTCCATTTTCATGTCAGTAGCAGCTGTTACTTGAATATATCAAGAGCAGACTTTTCTGAAATTTAACTGAACGAGATCTGCTGTGAAATCTCTTGTAAATCAGTGGGCAAGGTTCACATCAGGCCATGCATGGATCACTAATGCCTGCTTTTGCTGAGATGCAGAAGTTTGAACAGCAGCTGGAAATTTGTAGAAGTAGAAGCCCAAGCAGGCCAGGTTGGACGGGGCTCTGAGCAACCTGGTCCAGTGGAAGGTGCCCCTGCCCATGGCAGGGGTGGTTGGAACTAGGTGATTTTTAAAGTCCCTTCCAACCCAAACCATTCTGTGATTCTATTACTGAAGAAGAGTTTTATGATTGTGTGGCATCTGGAAAATACACGTGTGTTCTGCTGGTGACTAGACTTGACACATTCATCTTTGCTGAAACAAGTTGCCAAAATATTCCAACTTCCAGAGCCTGCTTTTGCGTGTTAGAGCAACTTATGGAGCAGCAAAGCACAGGCTCATATAAATGCTTCCCTTTGTGTGTTAAATCACAGCAGTGCAGCTTCATCCTGAGTGCATTTTCAAAGGGAAGTGGGAAGCTATCCTGACTTTGCCTTGCATTCTGTGTTGATACGTAAAAAAATAGTCTGTTATAAAACAGAATGTCCATTCAAGTGATTGTTAGAGCAACTAACTGGACTGCTGATTGAAAAGTAGATATGTGCAGAGTCATACCACAGGATCAGTTTTTGTTGAAAGCTGTAATTAAAGCTGTGAGTGTGAGGCACAAGAGGCACAATATTTGAAAAGCATGTCCATTTGCCATCAGTCAAGGTATTGCATGTGGACTTGTGTACAGCAGCCTGACAGAAGTGCTGGACTTCTTCAGAATTCCATTACTTCCTTTCTCTCCAGTGACATAACTTTTATGTTACACTACCTTTCAGTCTCCCCCTGTGTCATGTATGTATTTGGTTGAATTTAAGGATAGTCAAGTTGAAAACATCACTCAGTTGTGATATTATCTGTTGGACACCTGTCGAGCTTCAAAATTCAGATGGAAGGAATTCTGCAGTGTGTTTTATTTATTAATATTATGATATTAAGAAAATTCAAATGCTTTTCAGTAAACCCTATTTTTATGTCATATATATGATATGACCTACTAAGCCTTGTTATGGTGTTCTTATCTTTTTTGGTGGGGAAAAAAGGGCCCTTATCTTTACTGCAAGTATATAGTTCACATTGTCTGACAGTAGGGTACCCAATAAAATGTAGGAGTAAACAAAGTAGGCAGAAAGTATTACAACTTTTCCTCTGGGAACTATTTAAACATGCTGCCATTTAAATTCACAGCGGCCTTTGAAGTTTTGAATATGCAGTTATAAGCAGTGGCCATTTCAAAGCAGAAGCAGTATCTTTTATAAAAGCAGCAGCTGTAATTTTAAAAGATTCTGTGGGGATTTTCCTAGTGTGGCAGCTAGGCTGTTTAGAATTCTTAAATATCTTGTGCAGAATTTGAGAGCTTTAAAGATACTCTTAGCCTTATATACATTTTATTTCAAAGAAACTCAAATACTTTGTTGAGAAGTTATTACTAAATTGCATGCACTGAAATTACTCAGGTTCTTCTGTTGTTGTCACATTATTTGGGTGTTGAATTTTCGTTGTTTGATATGGCTGAATTTTTGCTGACAAACCCTGGCATTTGTTTCCAGGTTTTTTTTAAAGTTGATCTATCTTTTTTTTTTATTGTTATTTATTTCTACAGCTTGATCAAGTTGTCCGTCAGAGAAATCTGCATAGTTTGGAACTTTTCCTTTCATGTGCACAGAAACAGTTAAATGTTTTATTGAAGGAAGAGCCAACCACAGAGGAAAACAGAGACTGACATTCCTGGTACCACTGACACGGTGTGATCTGTGAAGCTGCAAATCTCAACTCAGCAAGTGATGAATATATTCTAATCTTTTGGGACTGTATTATTGATTCAAGGTTGATCTGAAACTATGCTTGATAGAAATATGTGTGGATGATGTTCTTTTATTTATTGGTTTGTTTTACTGCTATTGTCAGATTGCAAATATGGAAGGGGAAAACATCCATGGGAAAAAAAATTGGGTTTTTTTATGATTTTGTTTTCATTACATTTTCTAGTAACCCATGATTGAAGTGTTAGATAACTTGTAGCACTGATGAAAACATTTCCCTGTTATGTCTGTTTTAAATTTGGCATCGTGTGTTGATGTGATTCATCGTTATTTTTGGTATTTTAAAAAATTGAGACAAACTTACTTGAATATTGATATAAATCCATCTCTATTTCCACAGTATATACCCAAGTCCATTGCCTCAGGTGAGCCTGAGGAGCTTATTATTTCTTACTATTTTTGATGTATAACAGGGGAATCAATGCTGAAACATAAGAGTGTTGTCAGGCATCTCTTTAATCATTTATAAAAAACTTCAGCTCTGGTAATAGAAAAAATTTAGAAACTAAACAGTGCATCTTTTTAGAGTAGTGCAAAACACTGCCATAGCCAATGTATAGTTTGTATTTTATTTCTGTTTTACAGAGCTGCTTCAATTCCAAAAGTAATTTTCTCATGAAATGACGATTAATGTGACTGACCTCAGTTTCAGGAAGAAGATGTATGTAATTATGTGGAGACTGATACTGCACTGCCTCAGTGGAATTTCTGACAGAATAAGGAGAGCAGCTTTGCTGACCTCAGATGCCCTTTCTGAGTGCATGAAGGAAGTAGGAAAGCTCCCCACAGACATTACTGGACTTTGGATCAAGTCATGGGTCTTTCTAGTCTTGCTGACAGCAGATGGAGTGGAATTTCTGTGCCTGCACTCTACTGATTGTAGACTTGGGGCCTTAGTTTTAAAAGAGTGCTGAATGAAATAAGGGAAAATAAGTGTTCACACTTAGGTATGTAAATAAACTAAGAGTGATCTCTCTTATGGTGAGCTTGTGATTCAGTGGGGGACTTATGGGCATTTTTTAGTGTGGTTCTTGTTATTCAGCAGTACTTTGGGGTTTTTTTGTTTGGCTGGTTTTTTGCACCAGCAGTCACTTGTCATAAATCGCTCTCATAGAGCAATAGGGAAACACCAAATGGTTGCACAAAGTATTTGGCAGTATGAAATATGTACTGCAGAAAGTTTAGAATTTTATTTAAATCTTTTTCTGTGCTTTGTTTTTGTAATCAAAGCCAAAGGTTTTGTCTTCTGTATACACAAAAATACCCTGCAAATGGATGAAAATCCAGTCTTATTTTTGATACTTCTTGATTGACTGATCAGTTTCTATTTTTTTTGGCAGACAAAAAAAAATTATTAACAAGTCATCGACTTATTTATTGTTCCTAAGCCAGTGAAATTCTTGTCTTCTTCAACTGCACCAAAGATGACACAGATGTACACGTGGATTTTTTTGTAATGTAGAGGCAGTATCAAATGAAGTAGGTTGTCTAATGCTGTCTCACAACAGATGTGTACTTGTGGAAATGTGGTATGAGCACATTCCTAGAGGAACTTGATTTTATTTCTAGGCCTGGACATGAGGCACTATTCCTATTTACTAAAGACATCAGAGTATTCCCCTTAAAGCCAGAGCCTTAGGAGTCTATCAGCATTCTCCTAATAAAGAGGTTTGTATTCTGACTTGCAACAATATGTAAAAGCACTTTCTGGAGAAGCTCAGTAAGATTTTGCTGTCAACTATGGTGTATCTTTCCCATTGGAACATAGGGTTGTTTAATCTCAGCTCTTGAATATTGTGGTTGTCACAGAGAACTGTAGGTATTTTTTTTCCTTACCTTTGACAGTTTTAGTCCTTCAGTCTTCCTCTGTTCCCTGCAAACAAGATTGCACACTAGACCACAGAAATAAAGGATCATATTTGGAGCTCGAGTTACATTTGAAACTCCCAAGTCTCAGAGGAGAAATTTAGTTGTAGAGCACACACAGACCTATCCAGTCTGCGAGCTTTGGAGCATGCCATAACTTCCACCTTTCCCACATTGCATCCAGAGCTTTAAAGCTTGGTTTTATTTTTCAGTGTTTCTGTATAACCATAGGATAATACAACTTGTGGAAATTTGGGAGGAGGGAATCGTAGAATCAAGGAGTGGTTTGGGTTGGAAGGGACATTAAAATCATACAATTCCAACCCCCTGCCATGGGCAGGGACACCTTCCACCAGCCCAGGTTGCTCAGAGCCCCATCCAGCCTGGCCTTGGACACTTCCAGGGATGGGGCAGCCACAGCTTCTCTGGGCAACCTGTTCCTCCCCACCCTCACAGGAAAGAATTTCTTCCCAATATCTAATCTTGACCTACTCCCTTTCAGTTTAAAACCAGGAAGTTTGCAAAACCCAGTCTAGCTCCTAGAAGGTGACATCACAATTTTATTTTATTCTTTTTTTATTCCTACATACAGGCTGAAGAATTACATATAAGAGAAAAAAACATGTTCAAGGTCTACAGGGTAGAACTATCTGCCTCTGAGGTCTGGCTGACAGTGCTACTATTTTGGCAAGACTGTAATGGGAAGAACAAGAAACCCTGGAACTAATCTTTAGAATCAAAATGCAAGAACCAGGTCACCAAAGCTCAAATAATATACATGATATGGTTATGTACTTTATATTAGGAATAAACCATAAATCTTGTTATGTAAAGGCATGGTTTAAACAATCAATTTTGTGCATTATTGTATTAGAAGTGACCTAAAAGGCAAGGTAACAGAAGATCCAGTGTATAAAATATTTCTTTCATTGGTGTCAATTGGGCCCATTCTACTTTAACACTTCTACTTGAAGCTCTAGAACAGAACAGTGTGATTTATAGCTAATAGTTTACACTAAGTTAATACTGAATATTGTGATATCAGGCAGTCCTACACATTTGTGTTACGTTTCTGTTGGTTTCTGTTGGCTCCCTCTCTGCTTCCATCACAGGATTCTAGGTTGACTCTGAGACTATGTGTGTACAAGTCTTTCACATGGAGGGAATCATTTGCCACATGTTTTTTGTATACTGCCTCTACTTAAGATATGGGAATATTTGAAATTTTGCCTTGCTGTAGGAATCTCCTTGACAAATTACACCTGAATGCCTTGAAGCACTGAATTCCTTCACCCCGTCCTTAAGTGGCAGAACAAAGGAAAAGCAGCAGTTGTCATTCCAAAGGCTGAGATCACATTAGTATTTTGAGATTTTTGGGCATCTTTACTTTGGCTTCTGGTCAAAAGTGTGTCATGTCCTGCCAGCTCAGTAAATGGCAATGTTAATTCCTGACTGTCTGAAATTGTCCGTGCAGACATGACCTTAAAGAGCCTAATTCCTTTTCACACTAAAACTCCCTTACAGCACTCTAGACCCTCTTCCCCTGTGTATTTCCTATGTCCACATATTTGAGTTTACAGATTTTTCCCTATCCCTCAGATGATAAGATTTCATCTGGTTTCCTGGCAGGAGATAGCCACCCACAAAAATTGTTCATCAGTGGGACAGATAGAATTTATGCTCACTTTCTGATCATGTGCAGTGTCAGTGCAGTTATCAAATGGACTAAGTGCAAATATAAAATGAGCTGGGTTGGGGCATATCCAATGTGGCTTCCAGCTGGCTGGCTTTCTTGATGCCAGAGGGGGAAGTGTTAAAGCACAGAGCACAGCCTGGTCTAATGGCCATGTGCATCTTCCTGCTTCCCCATTTCATTGCACCCCTCACTGAGCTACCTGAAATCCATAATTTCCTTTGTCTAAATTATCACAGAATCTCAGAATGGCTTCTGTTGCAAGGGACTTTAAAGATCATCTCATTCCAGCCCCTCTGCGATGGGCAGGGACACCTTCTGCTATCCCAGGTTGTTCAGTTCTATCCAACCTGGCCTCGAACACTTCCAGGGATGGGGCAGCCACAGCTTCTCTGGACAACCTGGGCCTCACCACCCTCACAGTAAGTAATTTCTTCCTAATATCCAATTTAAACCTACTCTCTGTCAGTTTGAAGCCATTCCCCCCTGTCCTGTCACTCCAGACCCTTGTAAACAGTCTCCCCCCATCTTTCTTGCAGGCTCCCTTCAGGTTCTAGAACACCCCAGTTAGGTCACCCTGAAACCTTCTCTTCTCCAGGCTGAATAATCCAATTTCTCTCAGTATTTTCTTGTAGGGGAGCTGCTCCATCCCTCTGATCACTTTGCTGTCCCTCCTCTGGACTTACACTGTTAAACTCCGTTGCAGGAGTGACCAACTTGTGGACGAGATTGTCTTAAAATTTTTTACCTGGCTGTTCTGAATGCTGTATAGAAAGATTTTATGACATCTGTGGCGTTCATTTTTCATCAGTGGATTATAAACATGCCAAAGAAACATTGGACTGGAAAGTGCTTTTTACATGGGGACAATTCTAGCCTTCAATTCAATGCACTTGCAGGAACTGACAAAATAATATTTTCTTTTCTGTGATCTGTTCTTCTGAGATATTGTTCTTCTGAGGCTTCAAGAAGGCTCATCTGCTAGCATCATTTAAGTTGTCTTCATTAATTTTTAAGCTTACATAAAACTGATCCTGCTGCTGAATTAGGGTCATATTTGAACAGTTGAACAGTCACAGGGAAACCACCCGAGTTTTTCTCTCAAGTTTTGTATTTGCTGAGTTGCTCAAGTTTTGTATTTGTATCACCTTTCAGTGATAGGACTTTCTTGTGATAATAATTATTATTTTCCTATGGTAATATAAATAACAATACCTTTCTGTGATAGATGTGGTATCAGTATTTTATCCCTGTCTTACATGCTGTGTAATGACAACAGTTTTAATGTGCGTCAGACATTCGCATTTGTTTATATTGCCTGTAATTCCTCTCATTTCAGACTTACAAAACCAGCATTTTTTAGATGCTTTCCATTGTCCAGCAAGGATAATACAATGCACAAAGAACGTGTTACTGAATAAAGAGTCAAACTATTCTACTTCTTTTCAAATGACATTTTTAAACAGTTTGACAGTAAACACTAGGAGAAAAGTGAGATGTTTATTAATATACGTATCCTAAAAATATTATTATCAACAAAATGCTACAAATGTATCTTTTTTTTTCCAGATTTGGTAGTCAGTCTGTATGAATAGGTATAGATCACTGTCATATGTCAAATCATTGCCATTCATTCTCTTTCTTCAAGTTAAAATATTTTTTCTTCTCTCAAAAGCTGCACCTCTCTGCATTTAAAAAGAAGCTCGTCCTGACTGATCCCCTCTACAGAATACTGTAGGAGACCCTTAAGCCAAGGGAGAAAGAGAACTGGTTTTGCTGAATGAACTTGGAGGGTGTTTCAGTTCTTGTACTGCTACCAAATTAGGGCACTGGTTAAGTCTTCACACCGATCGTGCTGCATAAATTTTCCAGAAGATGACTGGTCACGGTGATGCATGGTCAGTCTCTATTTTTGTGGCAATAATTTTAAAAATTCCATTACCCAAACATCCCACTCTTTTATTGTGACCATGGATTGCATATTTGGAGCGTGATTGTGGAGCGCTGGCTCCCAGGAAGTCAGTAGGAATTCTGCTGTCGGTTATTTGCAGTCGACATTTCGTCCTTCCTCGCATTTCTTGCATTTGGGGCCACAATGAGTATAATGCACACAATTCTGTCTTTGTATGGCTCTGGAAACATACTGGGAAATTATATCAAAAGCAGATTTCATGATCAGTTCTTTGAAGAAAGTGTCAGCACTTGTTCTGTTCCTGGTATAGCAGGGAAGGCAGATGAGCTGTTGTCTGAGACCTTGGTGAGGGAAAATGTGTCTCTCATTATTACTACACTGCTGCAAAGAAGAAGGTCTCATCTCAGAAAATAGTATTACATGAGAATCTTTACTTCAAAATTGCATCCAAACAGCCAAAATAAAATAAAATAATATAAAATAAAAGTTTAAGCTTTGTAAAGCTTGAAGGCATTGCAAGGGTGACATGTTGCAACCCAAAAACATTAGGCTGACAAGTGTCAATAGAGGTTCCTGAGCATCCTGGGCAGAATGTTTTGGGAGCTTCTCTGGAGGAATGATGCTCACTGGGGCTACTACTGTATCAGGATGATGTACATAGTCTTGCTTGATTGCTACTCTAATATTAAAAACAAAACTCTATGCACAATGGAGAAGTCTTTACACGTCTGCCAAGTAAAATGGAAAGGGATCCAGATGTTGTGTCCAAAGATAGCATATCATCTAATCATCTTCTTGGGAATAAAAAATGTATTTGGGTCTCGAATG